CTGGAGAAGTCTGGAATGGGACCAGGCACTCCAAGGACGCTACAGATGGGTCACTGAACACTTGGATTCTGCACCCTGTCACAGCAGTACCTGCTGAAAGTGGTGAAAATGGAATGAAACTATCGCCCCCGTCGTCCCGCCAATGCAAGGTTGCTAGGGGGGTGGCGGTGGCAGCAGGGTGACCCCACTGCAAGATCAAGTAACTTCTTTGGCAAGGCTCACCCTCCCCTAGAGATGAGTGGGCCAGAGACATTTAAGTTCTGAGCACTGGGTGTGGAGCAGGAGGCACCTTGAAGCCACAGAGAGTCCTGCCGTGGCCTTTTGTGCTTTGGGACTTGGGGGGTGGGCAGCATCCGCTCATCTCCTCCAGATACGTTCCCGATATGATATGAGCAGCAGCACTGAACCTTGGGAGGGAACGTACCACAGTCAGGTCGGGGTGGGCGTGGCCCCATGCCCATCTGGTGCTGTACGACAGGAAGTTTACGCCCAGTGCATGATAAGCCTTGATGGCACCCAGGAGGGCCCAGGAACACCCCTCACCCAAGGAGCCGCCCCTCCGCTCTGGGGTTCCCATCCTGGAAGAGGACAGGTCCCTGCCGACCTTCACTATCAAGCTCTCTGCTCTGCCCTGGTCAGAGTGCCGTCTCCCGCAGGCAGTAAGTGTGAGCGCCATCTGCCCAGGCAAACCCTTCACCCGCTTCTACTTCATCCATGTCGCTCCCTGGGGGCAGGCCCTCCGGCAGTCCATTTGGCAGCCCGTTGCTGGTTTTCTCCATGGCTAGAGATGCTGGATCCGAGCCGCTTCCATCCTAACAAGACAGCCAGAGAGAGCGAGTCAGCCATCGTCCTCTCCAGATTGTTCTGGAAGACCAACACCCCATCCCTGTTTACTTCCAAAGTGACTCCTCAGCATCATGGCTCCCCTAGATGCTTTTTCCAGCACCAGGCACACCAGTCCTAACAGGCAGCTGAGCTTCCCTGGTGTCCAAAAATCCCAGGTTATTCTCTTCAGTAGCCTTAAAACTCCAGGCCAAATTCCCCTTCCTTTGGGCAAGACTAAACAGAGTCTTTCCTTAGCCTGAACTCTGCAGCTGTGTATACTGGCACAAAGCCTTAGATTTTGCTCACAAGTCTCGAACAAAGTCCTTTGGGATTTGAAGATTTTGGGCCAAACTGCAGCTGCTGCTCCTTTCAGTTAATATTTACTGATCTGTCGCACCAGCGGCACAACAGGCCTTGTACAGCACATGGAAAGGCCAATAAGGCTCTCAGGGCAGGCAGCTAGCAGCTCTCTGGGATAAAGCAAGAAGCCAGGAACTGGCAAGGCTGGGAGGTCAGGCGGCAGAGCACGGGCCAGCATGGCTCAAGAAAGGATTTGCTGCAGGAGCAGAGGCCTCGAGGTGAGGAAGCAGCTCAACACGCAGAGAAAGGAGGCTGGTTTGGCTCCACGCACAGAAAGGAGAATTTGTGTGTGTGTGGGGGGGGGGGGAGAATGACACTGTAGGGACAGCAATGGGCAAGCGCATGCCGAAGGGGGGGTGCCAGAAAGAATGGGGAGGAGAAAGCAAGGGGAGGAGATTTCTCCGAGACAACCAGGGGGAAGTCAGTGGCGGGAAGGACCTGCTGCTTGGTAAAGTTGTCCTGCACGATGCAGGTTGCCTCTGCCCCAGACCCATCTGAGTGCACCGTGCGCAACTTTGGCATGCAGAGTGATCTCTGAGACGACACATGGGAGTGGGGTGGTGGCGGCAGGCAGTGGGAGCAGGAGAGAAAGATCCAGGGAGGGGTAGCAGTGAGAGGGCAGAGGCAACAGCTGGATAGTCCTGACCCAGCTCCTTGGGCCGCAAATTGAAAAACAGGGACGAGAAGCTTGAGGCCGGCATGGAGCTTGATGGGGAAGGAATGCCAGGACTGGAGGAGAGGTGCGATGTGGGTCACAGCTCTCCAGGAGGCCGGTGTTTTCCTCCTCCTGGCAATGGTGGTGCATCTTTACGTGGCTTCCCTGGGGAATGGACAGATACTGTCTCTCCCTCAGCCCACCCGGTTTCTGCACAGCATGCAAGTTTGGGGGAGGGGGGCTCCAGTGGAGGTACAGAGGCAGGATACAAGAAAAGCCCTATCCCAGCAGGTGCCCCTCTTCACCACCCCCCCCAGCCTCTCACCTCTGCAACATCACGGACCCCAAAGCGCAACTTATCACGGTATTTTGGAGGCAGACAGCAAAATAGGCGTGGCAGCACCGGGAAGATCGTGCGGGGGTTTACAGCGTCACCATGCATGGGGCCTGTGTAGGGCAGAAGAGGCAGCATTACTGGGAGCTTTGCAGGGTCACTCTCTGTGCTATCGGGACTGGGGGGGGGGCGCGGAATCCCAGGCAATAAGTACCAGTGCCCACACCTCCTTCATGCTTGGGGGGGGGGGAAAGGAACCATAGGATCCCACCTGCAGGGCCAGACAGAATCAAATCCTCCAGAGCCCGAAATCTAGGCACAGGACACAGAGCAACATATCCACACCATGCCAACACACACACGAGATTTTTGAGCCCCTCCCCTTTCTCAAGTACCTGCTGGCACTCAGTTCTCCTGTCCCTTTTTCTAACTTTCCCCCTCACTTTTCACATCAAAGACCACTATTCTATAAACTCTAAGATACTAGCAGTGACAGCCCACCTTTCAGTTCCATGATCAGGTACACGATATCCCAGATGCAGAATGTACACAAACACACACACATACACTCAGGAGTAAACAGTACTGAGCTAGATAAATCAGCAGTTTTAGAAAGGCAGCTTCATGTGTTTACACACCCTAAGCTCCACCAGGTAAAGGCCCAGATTATATTACCTGGGCAGAGCTTGGTCACTCTGTAGAACTGTATGTACCTGTGAGCAGACTAACCAGGAGTCCCACAACAATGACGGTGGTGGAGTTGTGCGCACTATACCACATATATGACAAGTTGTAGAACTTCTTCAGTCCTGTGCGCCTAGAAGGAATGCAAGAAGACGCAAGATAGGTTCTGCAAGCGGAATCAAAACCCCCCCCAGCTTAATTTGCACCTCTAGCCTCCCAATGTCCCATTCAAGAGCATACAGGTCCTTGACCTTCTCTCCCCCCCGGCGGGGACTCAAGAAAACTTTTGCTGGTTCCCTCTCTGGGAGCAAGCTGAACGCAGTGGCACTGCCAGAACCTTAGGGGTTCACCTAAGTCCCTTGGGTAGAGAATCATTCCTGGGTGTTGAGCAAAAGTCTTATGTGCCACTGTTTGGCACATTATGCAGAAGGTTGCATGAGCCTATCCTAGAAGGCAACTGAAGGCAGGACAATGACCTCCCCTCTGCACAGGAGGAAACGACACAAGGTATATGTGTGTGTATACATATCACACCCCCTCTCTGCCATCAAAGCATGCTGGGTGACATTCATGTGTATCGGGTAGGAAGGTAAATAAGTAGGTTCAGGGCTGGCCCAACTGCGTGAGCAGCCCATGTGGTCACTGGGCCAGCAATAGTTTTATTTTTATTATTTATTGGAGTACTGAAGTATGCATTACCCCACCTTTTCTCCTGGGTCAAGGTGGTTTTAGGGGTGCCAGCAAAGAACTGCGTGACCCAAGAGCTCCTGCGATGAACCGTCCAGCTGCTTAGGTGAGCCAAACATCCTGTGCCAGCCATGTTTAAAACCAAACATCCAAAAGGCCTTCTGAAGTGCAGTCCTGGTTAAGCAATGGAGTCAGTTGCCTATGGGAGTCAAGGGAAATCCTCCCCGTTCCCTGCATGGGGTTTCCACGACAAGCCTTGATAACTGGAGGGGATGCTTTATGTACATGCTAGATACTACCAGGTCTTAAGACAAGGGGCACTATGACCCACTGGACACCCCCCCCCCAAGTCCTAGGGGTCCATGCTGAAGATTAAGAAACTTATTTATTTTATTTTTTACTAATCCCAGTGGTTAGGGCTTCTTTGCATATCCCAGCCATCTTCCGTCCTTCCCTCCCTCCCTTGTAAAACCACTCAGAATTCTACAAAGGCACACATTAATTTCACAGCTATGCCAGACACCTGACTGGAATAACTTATTCTGAACATGGACTTTGGACTTCCATAGTGCCAAGTTTTTACAAATTCTCTTCCCCCTTTCATCTCAAAAGGCTGCTGGGAGTCGGATTTTCTCTGCTCCCTCCTCACCTCTCTGGAGTCGTCGCTGAGGTCAGCAGAGTTGTCATGACAGCTGTCGTGAAGTTCCCGTTAAGCGAGGGGATGCTGCTTCCGTTGGGCAGAGGGGGCGGAGCCTGTACATTGGTGAGGAAGCTTCCAATGCCGACCCAGAAGGCCATAGCTAGCCCGGCCACCAACCCAGTTACAGCACCCTGAGGAGGAACAGAGTGTAAGGAGCTTCCTTCTGCACAGAGACAGTCATGTGCCCAAATTGGCTTCCATCAAAGCTTTCGGCATGGAAACACACATGGGGGGGGGTAGCTGTAAATGTCTGTAAATGTTCCTCAGTGGAACAGGCTTCATTGGGAGGTGGTGGGCTCTACTTCTTTGGAGGTTTTCTTTTTTTTCCTTTTTTTTTTTAAAGCCCCCAAAGGGGGGGTGTTATTTTTTTAAACAACTACAACTACAAAAACTACTACAGAAAAACAGGGAAGGGACTGCATATACGGGATAAAGAAAAAGAAACCCACATCTAACTAAAACCCCAAGAAAGAAGATCTTCATTAGCTAAGTTACATTTAACCTTCTTCTCTATTTAGCATTGAACACACTGAGTCATTGTTAACAATATCTTTTCTTTTCTAACAGAGCCTAGAGGGCCATCTGACAGCAATGCTGATTCTGTGAACTTAGGGAGACCACGAGAAAGGAGGGCAGGAAGGGTTGCCTCAGTGCTTAGTTCTTGTGGCCCTTTCTTACATGCCCAGGGAAATGCTGATTGCCACTTTGGGGTCAGGAAGCAATTTTTCTCCAGGCCAGTTTGGCCAGGGATCCTGGAGGTTTTTTGTCATCTTCTGGGTGTGGAACAGCGGTCACTGTAGGTGTGGAGGAGGAGGTATTTGTGAATTTCCTGCATTGTGCAGGGGGTTGGACTAGATGACCTTGAAGGTACCTTCCAACTCTATGATTCTATGAATCCCTCCCTCCTAAATTGTTTGGAGGGGGAAATGAGGGCCTAGCAGAGCTGCCCCCCCCCCCCAGGGAAGCAAACACTCACCACAGAATTGGCACAAGGAAAGAACATGCCCAGGCAGAAGACTCCCAGGAGTGGGCCCCCCACCATGCCGAAGATGCTGAAAGCAGCCTAAGGGTGGGGAGGAAGGAAAAGATGGGAGGGGGTTTGCCAGAATTCATCCTCTGAAGTACATTAGGTGCTATACATATTTTTTATTTTTTAAAAAGGCACATTTCTTGCTCACAGCCTAAATACAGCCATCACCCGCATAAGGATGATTCACGGTACAGGGTATAATCAACTGAATCTGAATAAATGTGTATATGAATAAAATAATCATTTCTGAAGAAGGAAAAAGACATACACACACTCCTTTCAAACAAGCCTCGAGTACACTGCAGCAGGCGCCATCCCAGTTGTGTGCAACTGCGGGAGAGAAACGCCTCTTCTGAGATGGAATTTGCCACCTGTAATTTTTGTAAATACTCATGTATCGAAAAATAACCATTTGGGGCTCCTTTAAAATCAAGGTCTTTACTTAGTCGCTACTGGGCCAGACTACAGATATGATATGCAGAAAGAAAACGGGGAAGAAGAGACCAAACAGAATCAAGAAAGGAACGCAGGAGAGAAGGGAAGAGTTTTCAATGGTTTTCTACAGAAAATAAAAAGAAGGGAGGGAGGGAGGGAGGGAATTCTATGTACAGAGGGCTGCTTGAAAGAATGTGCAGGCTTGACAAGAAGATAAACTAGCTCAATATACATGTGACATTTCTGTGGACAAAGACTGTATGTGTGGAGGAGGAGTAGAGGAGAAGGAGGAAGAAGAGGAAGAGGAGGCGGCTGGATTTATACCCTGCCCTACCCAAAGGAGTCTCAGAGCGGCTTACAATCTCCCTCCTTTTCCCCTCCCCACAACAGACACCCTGTGGGGTAGGTGGGGCTGAGAGAGCTCTTTGAGAACTGCTCTTGCGAGAACAGCCCTGAAATAACTTGTGATTGACCCAAGGTCACTCCAGCAGCTGTATGTGAAGGAGTGGGGAATTAAAGCTTGGGGCGCTTTAGCTTTGGAGAAACGACGGCTGAGGGGTGACATGATTGAGATTTATAAGACTATGCATGGGACAGAGCAAGTAGAGAAAGAAGTCGGGTTAGAACAGATAAAAGGAAGTACTTCTTCACCCAAAGAGTGATTAACACATGGAATTCACTGCCACAGGAGGTGGTGGTGGCTACAAGCACGGACAGCTTCAAGAGGGAATTAGATAAGCGTATGGGGCAGAGGTCCATCAGTGGATATTAGCTACAAGGTATGGACAGGAACTCTCAGGCTGGGGCAAGTGATGCACTGTATTCTTAGTGCTTGGGGGGGGGGGGACAAAAGTGGGAGGGCTTCTAGTGTCCTGGCCTCACTGATGGACCTCCTGATGGCACCTGATCCAACACTGGCTTCTCTTATGTTCTTAAACCCAGTTCTCCCAGATTAGAGTCTGCGCTCCTAACCACTACACCAAACTGGCTGCTGGACACATCCCCTCCTTGTTAACAGAGAACACGCTGGCCCTGCCTGTTCTTACAAACACTAGCCACCACATTTACACATGTGTATGCACACAGGCTCCATCTCTGTGAATGGGAGCACTGCTTGCACATAGGCAGGGGACGGGACCAGCGTGAGAGGGGCAGTCTCCCCCTCCACGCATATATGAATATGTTGTGTGTAAAGGGGCTATCTTTAGGCAAGCAAAGAAAAGAAGAAGGAGAGCCACATCCTATCAGCTAACTCTGGAAAGACCCTATTCCTGCATGCTGGTTTAGTGGACTTTCGAATAAGGACCCTTAGCCCATCTGTCACAGTCTATCTGCAATTTCTGGCACTCTTCCTGCAGCTCCAACTTTGTCAATTTCAGGATCTTCAGTTGCTCTTTAAACTCCACCCTGGCTAACCTAATGGGGACCCTACTCTAGTTGACCAGAAAGTAAAACAAAACTTTAGTTGCTGTCTGTCTGTGTGTGTAGCCAAAACTTAAATTGCCTGGCCAACCAAGTTCTCCATTGGTTCGCATCCCACCCTTGCTACTGCATGTCATGGAATGGCTCGGCTATCCCTTGGTCCCCCTTTGGCTTCAACCTTCCGAGGCACCTGGGCACCCTGTGGTCATCCCAAGTCTCTACCTAGCAGTGAGCGGCTGCTCACCCAAGCCTGCCCAGCTCTCGGCAGGGTTTGGCTCCTGCCTGCCCAGTAGGAGGGCCAGAGAGCAGGAAGGAAGCCAGGAAGAGCAGCCACCTGTTGCTAGGTCAGCTGCCCTCTTCCTCTGGGTCACAATGGGAACAAGGCTTGGAGAGAGAAGAGCAAAGAGGCTGGGGTTTCTATGGCTCCTGCTCCTCAGTCTGGCCAGCAATCAGGGAAGAGCAAGTGGGCAGTGGCAGCAGAGAAGAGATTGCCTAAGGGAAACAGGCAGCCCTCACCAAGGTTATCTTGGCCAGGAGCCCCCCAGTAGTGTGGGATATCACAGGTGAAGGTGGGGACAGAAAAACCCCAACGAGGCTTCCAAGCTGAGAGGATGTACAAGAGCCTGGCCTGGGACAAGAGAGAAGAACCACAGTTGGGGCCAAAGCAAGGAATTCAGAGAATCAAGACAAAGGAAGTAAGGAAAGGGGGGGGGAGAGAGCAGTTTGCAGCTGGAACAGCAGCCAACGCACCTGGCAGTAAGAGCCGGAATAAGATAAGACTTGGGGAGGATCCAATTAGCGCCTGTGTTAGAAATACTGCCAAGGGAGATGTCTTAGAGGTTTGGGCCAGAGTGGTGATGTGAGGGGAGAAAGACAGGGGGCGGGGGAGAATAAAAATGATACCTAATCTCACTGTTGCCAGAGAACACAAATATGAAACTCAAGGCCTAGGAGTAAAGGAGGAAGATCTCCATCTTCTGGATACTGTGGAGGTGGACGGCCTGAGATCCAGTTACTTAGAGGCAACTGCAGACTTGGTGAGAAGTGTCAGAGTGGGTGGAGGAAGAGGAAGAGATGCAGGATATAACCCTGGCACAGCAGTGAAAGGCTGAAGAGCCCATGACAAGAGAGACCGGACCACCAAAGTGTGCACCAAACCCAGGAGCAGAGGGGGAGGGGGCCCAAGGAAAGGGGGCAAGGATGACAATAGGGAAAAAAAGCCCTTGCAATCTGATGACCAAGGCCTGATCCAGACATGCTGGGGAATGAGGGGCTAGAACAGAGTGTAGCAATTCAGACTGACGGCTGGAGAATCGTATTTTGGAAGGCTCTCCTATGTTAAAGACTCTTGGCTAACAGAAAACCAGCACACCAGGCAAAGGGATGGCAGAACCTCCCCCCTCCACGGTGCTGTTTTTCTATTTTTCATGAAGTTCTTAATGTAAAGAGCTCACAATATATTTACGTATGTGTGGCGTTTCACTTCAGTGGGTCAAAGAGCGTTTTAGACAACAAGCAAGGGGTGAAGATTTGAACAGCAGGCCAGCTGATAAGAGAAACTGAAGAGAGCAAAAAATGGGGAGCGGAGAAAATGCAAGGAGAAAGAGACAACCTTTTTGCACCAACACCTGAACCTTTTTGCAACCTTTGCAACCCACCTGAACCTTTTTACATGCATTTTATTCTTGAATTATTCCCATCTTATTCATTACCCTCAGGGTCAGTGACCCTGCAACAGTGACCCACAAATAATTAAGTCCCATCACATCACAACCTATTCATGGCAGCCCCCAATGAGGTTTTCAAGGCAAGAGATGAACGGAGGTGGTTTGGCCATTTGCCTGCCTCTGCACAGCAGCCCTGGTCTCCCTTGGGGGTCTCCCATCCAAGCACCGACTGTGGCCAGCCAAGCTTAGCTTCCAAGCTCTGACACGCTCAGGGCTACGCAGGCTGCTCCAGTCCCTTTTCCAGAGGACTAAGGGGAAGCTATTTGTCAGGTGACGTTGCGAACCACCATGCCGCGGAAAGCCTGAGCTGCCCATGTCTGCCCCCTACGTCAGAGCAAACTGGACTGAGGTGGGATCGGGGATCTGAGACTCCCACAACTGACCTGGACTGATGAACAGGACACAGAGACTACTCCATATGCGGCTGAAAATGGCCGTGCGCGCGCCGGCGCAGGGACAGGATCGGGATGAAAACATTTTTGACAGGGGATGCCCCTCCTTTTCGCACACCAGGAGCCCAGCCAACATGTGCACACCCCAACGCTTCCTTCCTGCTCCCTGCCCTCCCTTACCTGCAGCACTGAACCCATCATGGATGAGACGTAAGCCATGCCCAGACAGATGAGACCGTAGCCCAGAGCTGGGGAGAAAAGGGGGGGTGGGATGGGGGTCAAGAGAGCAGAGCCAGCCAGATGTGATGAGGCAGGGAAAGGGAGAGAGTCCCCTGCGCTGGGACGGTTCACCAGGCTTCGAGGAAGGAGCTCAGGCACCTGGGGCTACATCTGACCCGGGTCTCTCTCCCGGCCCCTCCAAATCCCAGAAAGGTGAAACGTACCCAACAACTTGGAGTAGAGGGTGGCCCGTCTCTCGGGGATGTTGGCCACGTAAGGGCGGATCAGGTCCTCCATTGTCACCGCTGCCAGCGAGCTGAAGGCTGAGGAGATGGTGCTGCCGGTACGGGAGAGAACAAGGAAGGTGGGGGCCAGGTGAGCTCAGCAATCTCTATCGGACCACACTTGGCCTTGGAGGGAAGAAGGGAAGAGGCTTGGCGCTCACCTGAGAGAGCCGCTGAAGAGGCAAGCCACAAAAAGACCAGGCAGGCCGGGCATTCCGTTCAGCACGTCCATCACAAAGTAGAGGACCATCTGCAAAGTGGAGGGCGTGGGTCGACGTGGGGGTGGGTGAGCGAGAAGGAAAGATGCAGTCAGTGCCACTATCCAGGGGGATCAAACACCACCAGGGTTCGACCCAGAGCTCATACTTTGAAAGTAACCCTGCAGGGAGTGCCCTCAGGACAAAGAACCATAACAGAAAAAGCAAGAGTGCCGTATATGGGTAAACCGTGAGCGTCTGCAACAGCAAAATGAACACAGGAGTCCAATGGCACCTTAGGGACTAACGACATTAATTCCAGCAAGAAGCTTTTGTGAGTTAGAACTCCATCAAATGCATGGAGTATACATCCTTTTTCTTTCTTTTTTGCTGTCAAGTAGCAGCCAAGTTATGGCGACCCTGGTAGGGTTTCCAAGGCAACCGACATGCACAGGTGGTTTGCCATTGCCTGCCTCTCTGTAGCAACTCTGTTATTCCTTGGTGGACTCCCACCCAAGTACTAACCAGGGCCGACCCTGCTTATCTTCTGACATCTGAGGACACTGGGCTATCCTGGACTATGCAGGTCAGGGCATGTAACCGTAAGGCCGATGAATTTGCATTAAAAGCTGCAAGTACGGGGGGATGTTACAAAGAGATACTGTTTTAAAACAAGATCCAGTCAAAAAAAGTCAGTCAATTTGCTCAGGATGGGTGGGGATCACTCACTGGATACATGAAACAGCCTTATGCAGAGTCAGACTACTGGTCTATCGAGGTCAGTAAGGTGGTCTCCTCTGACTGGCGGCAACTCTCCAGGGTCTTTCACATAACCAACTGTCTGATGTAGGGACTGAACCTGGGACCTTCTGCACTCAAAGCAAAAGCTCTACCACTGAGCTACCGCTCCCACCTCATTAATATACAAAGTAGGATTTCACTTTTATGCCACCTCTCCAGGAACCTGTCCAAGGAGGCTTAAACAATAAAAATAATGAAAACAGAGCACTAAGAGATATCAATTAAAATCCAGTATTAAAAAAGCCCCAGACCATCATAAAAACATACGTCGTAAAAACAGACCACAGAAAGCTTAAAACAAAAGTTTCCAGGATAAGATAGAGGGTTTAAAAAAACCAGCCCCTTAATTAAAAGCCTGGTTGGACAGAAACATGATGCATGAAAGAAAGCAACACAGGCGCCAGGGGCGCCTCAAAGGGCAGGGCATTCCACAGGTGAGGTGCTGCTACTGAAAAAGCCCTGTCTCTGGTTGCCACCTGCCTCCCCTCTGGGGCAGACCTTAACTGGCAGGCTGGACAGTATGGGAGGAGGTAATCCTTTAAGTACCCTGGCCCTTACAGTCTATGGCAGATCGTGATCTCCTCGCTTCTAATCCAAATGACCACACATGGCTCCACTTTTAATACACCCCTTGCATTGGCAGGCTCTTGGGACTCCCTTTTGGTTCAATCTTTTCATAATCCATCTCTCTTACTGTGACTGATCAGACCCTTTTTGCTATGGGTCTCTCTAGAAGGGACCATATTCAGCCTGTGCTGAAAGCACTGCACTGGTTGCCAATAGCATACCGGATTCGCTTCAAAGTGCTGATTCTTACCTATAAAGGCCTATATGGTCTGGGTCCAACCTACCTAAGGGACCGCCTTTCCCCATATGTCCCCCCAAGAGCACTACAGTCTGGGGCCCAAAATTTGTTAACTATTCCGGGCCCCAGGGGTGCAAAATTTATTTTAAAATTGGCTGACACAAGGGCCAGGGCCTTTTCGGTGGCGGCCCCTACCTGGTGGAATGAGCTCCCGGGGGAGATCCGGGCCCTGCGGGATCTGATGCAGTTCCGCAGGGCCTGCAAGATGGAGCTCTTCCACCAGGCTTTCGAGTAGGGGCCGCCCCCCCCCCCATTATGTTGCCATCCCGGAAGGAGGGGGGCTGGAAGAGGCCCTGAGAAGAACCTCTGAGAAGGATCATCTGAACATCTGAACAGTGACGTTATAGACCAGGGGTGGCGAACAAGTTCGACAAAAAGAGCCAAAATTTTAAACTGTGAGAGTCAGAGAGCCACACCACGCAGTGACCTGCCAAAACAGACAAACACTCACACAAAAGCATATAATTTTAACAATAATATATTAAACACATAATATAACATGCTCAGTCAAGTGTTTTTGTTACCTTGTTGGAGTGATGTGATGCTCCCAACTTTAACACCAGTCACCTTTTGCTCAAGGGAGGCAAGCAGAGCCAGCCAAGGGGGGGGGGGTGTTTGCAGCCTCCGGTTTACAATACACACGTTTGTCTTAGCTCAGCTCAGCAAGGATTGCTCCAGAGTAGACTAAGCAATGCAGCAGCCCATTCGCTTGCTCCCAACTTTAACACCAGTCACCTTTTGCTCAAGGGAGGCAAGCAGAGCCAGCCAACGGGGGGGGGGGTGTTTTCAGCCTCCGGTTTACAATACACACGTTTGTCTCAGCTCAGCTCAGCAAGGATTGCTCCAGAGTAGACTAAGCAATGCAGCAGCCCATTCGCTTGCTCCCAACTTTAACACCAGTCACCTTTTGCTCAAGGGAGGCAAGCAGAGCCAGCCAAGGGGGGGGGGTGTGTGTGTTTGCAGCCTCCGGTTTACAATACACACGTTTGTCTCAGCTCAGCTCAGCAAGGATTGCTCCAGAGTAGACTAAGCAATGCAGCAGCCCATTCGCTTGCTCCCAACTTTAACCCCAGCCCCCTTTTGCTCAAGGGAGGCAAGCAGAGCCAGCCAAGGGGGGGGGGTGTGTGTGTTTGCAGCCTCCGGTTTACAATACACACGTTTGTCTCAGCTCAGCTCAGCAAGGATTGCTCCAGAGTAGACTAAGCAATGCAGCAGCCCATTCGCTTGCTCCCAACTTTAACCCCAGCCCCCTTTTGCTCAAGGGAGGCAAGCAGAGCCAGCCAAGGGGGGGGGGTGTGTGTGTTTGCAGCCTCCGGTTTACAATACACACGTTTGTCTCAGCTCAGCTCAGCAAGGATTGCTCCAGAGTAGACTAAGCAATGCAGCAGCCCATTCGCTTGCTCCCAACTTTAACCCCAGCCCCCTTTTGCTCAAGGGAGGCAAGCAGAGCCAGCCAAGGGGGGGGGGTGTGTGTGTTTGCAGCCTCCGGTTTACAATACACACGTTTGTCTCAGCTCAGCTCAGCAAGGATTGCTCCAGAGTAGACTAAGCAATGCAGCAGCCCATTCGCTTGCTCCCAACTTTAACCCCAGCCCCCTTTTGCTCAAGGGAGGCAAGCAGAGCCAGCCAAGGGGGGGGGGTGTGTGTGTTTGCAGCCTCCGGTTTACAATACACACGTTTGTCTCAGCTCAGCTCAGCAAGGATTGCTCCAGAGTAGACTAAGCAATGCAGCAGCCCATTCGCTTGCTCCCAACTTTAACCCCAGCCCCCTTTTGCTCAAGGGAGGCAAGCAGAGCCAGCCAAGGGGGGGGGGTGTGTGTGTTTGCAGCCTCCGGTTTACAATACACACGTTTGTCTCAGCTCAGCTCAGCAAGGATTGCTCCAGAGTAGACTAAGCAATGCAGCAGCCCATTCGCTTGCTCCCAACTTTAACCCCAGCCCCCTTTTGCTCAAGGGAGGCAAGCAGAGCCAGCCAAGGGGGGGGGGTGTGTGTGTTTGCAGCCTCCGGTTTACAATACACACGTTTGTCTCAGCTCAGCTCAGCAAGGATTGCTCCAGAGTAGACTAAGCAATGCAGCAGCCCATTCGCTTGCTCCCAACTTTAACCCCAGCCCCCTTTTGCTCAAGGGAGGCAAGCAGAGCCAGCCAAGGGGGGGGGGTGTGTGTGTTTGCAGCCTCCGGTTTACAATACACACGTTTGTCTCAGCTCAGCTCAGCAAGGATTGCTCCAGAGTAGACTAAGCAATGCAGCAGCCCATTCGCTTGCTCCCAACTTTAACCCCAGCCCCCTTTTGCTCAAGGGAGGCAAGCAGAGCCAGCCAAGGGGGGGGGGTGTGTGTGTTTGCAGCCTCCGGTTTACAATACACACGTTTGTCTCAGCTCAGCTCAGCAAGGATTGCTCCAGAGTAGACTAAGCAATGCAGCAGCCCATTCGCTTGCTCCCAACTTTAACCCCAGCCCCCTTTTGCTCAAGGGAGGCAAGCAGAGCCAGCCAAGGGGGGGGGGTGTGTGTGTTTGCAGCCTCCGGTTTACAATACACACGTTTGTCTCAGCTCAGCTCAGCAAGGATTGCTCCAGAGTAGACTAAGCAATGCAGCAGCCCATTCGCTTGCTCCCAACTTTAACCCCAGCCCCCTTTTGCTCAAGGGAGGCAAGCAGAGCCAGCCAAGGGGGGGGGGTGTGTGTGTTTGCAGCCTCCGGTTTACAATACACACGTTTGTCTCAGCTCAGCTCAGCAAGGATTGCTCCAGAGTAGACTAAGCAATGCAGCAGCCCATTCGCTTGCTCCCAACTTTAACCCCAGCCCCCTTTTGCTCAAGGGAGGCAAGCAGAGCCAGCCAAGGGGGGGGGGTGTGTGTGTTTGCAGCCTCCGGTTTACAATACACACGTTTGTCTCAGCTCAGCTCAGCAAGGATTGCTCCAGAGTAGACTAAGCAATGCAGCAGCCCATTCGCTTGCTCCCAACTTTAACCCCAGCCCCCTTTTGCTCAAGGGAGGCAAGCAGAGCCAGCCAAGGGGGGGGGGTGTGTGTGTTTGCAGCCTCCGGTTTACAATACACACGTTTGTCTCAGCTCAGCTCAGCAAGGATTGCTCCAGAGTAGACTAAGCAATGCAGCAGCCCATTCGCTTGCTCCCAACTTTAACCCCAGCCCCCTTTTGCTCAAGGGAGGCAAGCAGAGCCAGCCAAGGGGGGGGGGTGTGTGTGTTTGCAGCCTCCGGTTTACAATACACACGTTTGTCTCAGCTCAGCTCAGCAAGGATTGCTCCAGAGTAGACTAAGCAATGCAGCAGCCCATTCGCTTGCTCCCAACTTTAACCCCAGCCCCCTTTTGCTCAAGGGAGGCAAGCAGAGCCAGCCAAGGGGGGGGGGTGTGTGTGTTTGCAGCCTCCGGTTTACAATACACACGTTTGTCTCAGCTCAGCTCAGCAAGGATTGCTCCAGAGTAGACTAAGCAATGCAGCAGCCCATTCGCTTGCTCCCAACTTTAACCCCAGCCCCCTTTTGCTCAAGGGAGGCAAGCAGAGCCAGCCAAGCGCATGCAATTTGGCCGGGAGCCGCATGCGAAGCTCTCGCCCAGCAGGACCCGGAGCCGCATGCATTTTGGCCGGGAGCCGCATGCGGCTCGAGAGCCACGTGTTCGCCACCCCTGTTATAGACTGTCTGCCAAGAACCGTTTTTGGAATTGTCCCGTCATCTTGGGTTTTTGGAGTTCTGACTATCACTGAGCACTTTATGTGATTTAGGACTGGTTTCTTTTTAAATTGTATAGTATGTTTTTAAAATTATAGGTATATAGTTGTTTTATTGTAGTAAGTTTATCTTGCCTTGTAAGCCGCCCTGAGCCCTACAGGGGAGGGCGGGGTATAAATTTGATAAATAAATAAATAAATGCCCTGCGATGCATTTCTGCTTTCCTTTCACCCCTCATTGGTTGTAGTTCATTTATTCTAAGAACTCATGATGACTGTACATTTGTTTCTTTTTCTTTCCTCTTTTTTTGTATGTACAGTGATATTACCGTCAATAAAGTTAATTAAAAAAAAGGTACCCTGGCCCCAAGCCACTAAGGGCTTTAAAGATAAGAGCCAGCACTTTGCCTTGTGCTCAGAACCAAATGGGCAGCCAGCCACAAACTCCATGAACTCCCCTTGAAGTTATTTTGCAGGGGAATAGTGACTTTTCAGTGAGCAACCGATTTCCCTAGAATGGACAAGAATTTTGTAAAAGACTCACAAACGGAATAAACTTTGAGTCCAGAGGCACCTTTAAGACCAACAAAGTTTTATTCAAGGGTGAATAAAACTTTTTTTGGTCTTAAAGGTGCTGCTGGACTCAAAGTTTGTTCTGCTGCTTCAGACCAACATGGCTGACCACCTGGAATAAACTTTATTAGTCTCCAAAGTCCCATTGGACTACTGTTTAAAGAAAGAAGAAAAATAATGGCAAAGGTCATCATTGTTATCACTATGCTTTTGAATGCGGGGTGGGGGATCACTTTCTCTGACTCTTTATTGATCCTGATTGTAATTTCCATGAGCCCATTTCTGAGGAAAGGCAGGATATAATTCTCTTTTTTCCTTCTTTCAAGAACAACCACTGTCCCCCAAGTATTCCGCCTGCACTGCTGCCAGACCTAGGCTGTATCATGCAAGACTCATTTATCTAACCTTAAGAACATAAGAACATAAGAGACGCCAATGCTGGATCAGGCCAAAGGCACATCCAGTCCAACACTCTGTGTCACACAGTGGCCAGAAATACCAGGTGCCATCAGGAGGTCCACCAGTGGGGCCAAGACATTAGAAGCCCTCCCACTGCTGACCCCCCCCAGCACCTTCAATGTGAGAGTCTGTATGTGTGTAGAAGGGGCATAAAAGGTAAAGGTAAAGGTTCCCTTGCTCGAAAGCCAGTCGAGTCCGACTCAAGGGTTGCGGTGCTCATCTCCGTTTCAAAGCCGAAGAGCCAGCGCTGTCCGAAGACGTTTCTGTGGTCATGTGGCCGGCGTGACTAAACACCAAGGCGCACGGAACGCTGTTACCTTCCCACTGAAGTGGTACCTATTTATCTACTTGCAATTTCTTGCTTTCGAACTGCTAGGTTGGCAGGAGCTGGAACTAGAGACGGGAGCTCACTCCATCAAGCGGCACCCGGGTCTCGAACTGCTGAACTACCGACCTTCCACAGCCTGCAGTTCAGCATCTTAACCACTTGAGCCACCGCAGCTCATCCATAATAAATAAACAGAAGAGACATTCATACAGATCTCAGCTCATTCCTCTTCCAATATGGCAGCTGCAAGAAAGGGGAAAGGTTCTTGCTGCGCGCAGATATGCAAAGCTGGCAAACCTGATCAGACGAGGCTTTCTTCTGCTCCTCTGCCAAGGGGTGCTCTTGGTAGTAAGCAAACATGACCAAGCCGGTGAGGCAGCCGAGACACAGCACGATTTGCTGGCAGGGGAACACAACATAGCAGGAGCTGGAAGGGGTAAAGAGGAGACATTACCCAAAGGAATGAGCCACGCACATGCCTCTCCCTTCCCACAGTTACTGTTTCAGGAGAGGTGGGTAGGGCATGAGCCAGTGAATTGCCCAGTGCCATGTCTGACTATATGCGCCGCTCACACTCACAGCACAGCCTGCCGCTCTGTCCGGGAACTCAGGTACCGCTGGACTTGGGCCTGATTCACCCCAAAGAGAGAAAGCATCATAAAGACTCCTCCAAAGGCCAGACTCCAGAAGGTGTGACGCTCATAAGGATCGGGATTTAGACTGGGGAGGAGGAAGAAGGGAGTTATGTAACACAGGAGCAAAGCGCACGTGTGCACACTTCCACTGCCACCTCTCCTGTGTCCTGGCATCTCACAGTGAAGGATCTTGGCAAGCATCTGCCCAGGTGCTTCACCTCACCCAGCATGGACAGAAGACGGAGGAGGCAGTAAGTTCGAGCCTGCACTTACTCAATGCCCGATACTTTGCCATGGTCGGCTGCCACCTGCCAGACGCGACCCATGCCGCCCACCTTGATGGTGCCAACCACGATCACGGCCACTTGTCCCGCGAACATGACAAATGTCTGGAACACGTCTGTCCAGATCACAGCTTTGAGACCACCCTGCAAAGGGAAGGAAAGTGTAGTTTACTGGAGGGAGGAGGCCCTGGAGTGGCTAGTGGAGGGGCCAACCCAAAATCTATGCTGCAGACCCATCTGTGCCTCAGCATTCTGGAATCCTAACCAGGGCACATGGGAGTGGGAGGTGTCTCTTATGGGAGCAGTGGCTGTTGTTGACCAGGATGGGCTCAGGCAGCCCCCCCCCCTACACTTACCAGGGTGGTGTAGAGGATGCAGACGAAGCCAACAGTGAGTACTCCAACCCAGAGATCAAAATGGGTCACTGCAACCCAAGACATAAAAGAATCCTCAGGGAGGGTCCCAGCTGCTCATTCTCAGTTGTCCAGGCTGCAGCCAGGACTGCCTGCAGGTACATGACATTCCCCCTCCCTTATGAACCAGTACTGAGCCTCCAAGCAGGACAGCCATATGCCCCCAAAGCCAATCCCTTTAGACCCCCCCCCCACACTCCGCACTTGCTCCCACTGCAGGCACCTTGCTCAGTTGATGCCTTCAGGAGTCCTGACCCAAAAAGTTCGCCTTTCCACCCCGGTCCTCCCAACGTCCTAGAAGAAACCCACTAAGCCTCACATGAACACACACATGAAGCTGCCGTATACTGGATCAGACCATCGGTCCATCATGGTCAGTATTGTCTACTCAGACCGGCAGCAGGCAGCTCTCCAGGGTCTCAGGGAGGGATCTTTCACATCACCTGGCACTTTTAACTGGAAATGCCGGGGATTGAACCTGGGACCTTCTGCATGCAAAGCCGAGGATCTTCCACAGAGCCTTAGGCCCTCCTAGGGGAAAAGGTGAGCCCGCACTTCCTTGGGCCTCTTGACTTTGGGACTTCTTTCTTACCTGCATTGAGTGCCAGTGCTGGGGCATAGAGCACAACACCCATGTAGATCACCTGCAGGGAGAAAGACAGCCTCACTGTTCCTGCAGTACGCTTGGCCCAGCTATGCTCGGGCCAGAGGGCAGTTGGTACAGTAAAGGGGGGGGGGGTCTAGACATGCTATCTCCACTGCCCTACTCCTCTCTCTACACTCCTCCCAGCTTAGGTACACACAATTGGTTTCAGCACCAAAACTGCTGGGTGATCTCAAATGCCCTGCACCGTGTCTCTCAGTGGTGTGCCCAGTTGAGTGTGTGGTTAGGGAACAGATCCAGAGCAAGAAATGTAAACTCTAGTCTTGCCTCATCTGTTTTGCTGCAGTTGGGGTTGTTGGTGGCCAAAAGGTCAGCTTTGCCTTCTTGCCAGCAACGCCCCCCCCCCCCCGCCTTTGGAAATCAAACCCACTTTTTTTGTTTGCCACATCGGTGCTTTTGCCCAGTGAGCTACTGGGGAACGGACAGGAATGCTTTCTGTGAATGTGCAACTGTTTGTCCCTTTATTGCTGCCCCAGTGTCTGCACCCCTCTTGCCTGGCAAAAAGCTGGTGCTCCATAACCCCACATCCAAAGCCCTGAACCCTTGTGCAGGAGAGGTCCTGGGTGTCCAGTATGAATTTCCTCTACCAGGGTGCAATGGGGTTGGAGGGCCACAGCATCTTTGCCATGGGCCTGCCTGGCAAAAGGGACCATTGCTACAGGAAAGACTGAAACCTACATCTGTGGAGCCCCCTGAAATTGTGTTCATTCCAAGTCTCTTACTGGTCACAGCCCTGCCTTTCCTACTGTGTTGTCTTTGTTCCCTCCCTTGTTGTGTTCTGTGTGTGGTCACTGTTCCCCCTAAGCTGTGCACATTAACAAAGGAAGCCCCGCTCAGCAGTAATTTGGAGCCCTGAAGGGTCTTGTACTGCCCATTGCCCATTTTAAGATTACAGCGGTTATATTCTGCTCAGGATGCGACCTCCTCCACACAGTGGGGGGGGGGGAAATTAGAGGGAACATTGGTCAGTGGCCATAGCCATCATGGGGGTGTCATTGGTATGCTGTTAGTTACTGGGGATTTCTGTGGATGCTGCTACAATGGCTGTGCTCTTTGTGTCTTGGAGCTGATCTACTGGGAATCTGAGGGTTCTGCCACTATCTACCTTCTTTATTTCTACACATTTTCCTCTTTTTTATCCTTTAAACAGTGATTCCTCACACCCTCTGTCCCTTATCACTTAAAATAAACTGGTGCCAATGGTTGGCTTATTTGTATTAAGAAGGTTCTTCTTATAAGGACACAGACATTCATAACAAATTCTTAATATAAACGTAAGGGTATAGTTTTCTGCTACTCTCCCAACACATATACCATCTGGGACTTTCCACGCTGGTTTGGTCTCTGATTGTGCCCACACCTGACCCAGTTCTATCAGCATTTTCTCATGGAGCCTGACAGTTCAGTTAGCCTGCCTTTCCAGCTTGCACCAGTCCGCATTCTACAATCTTGGCAGGAGGCACAAAGACGGGAGTAGAAGAAGACGACCAAAGGAGATGTGGTACGGAGAGAGTGAAAAGGGAGTGGGAGAAGATGAGAGGGGACAGTTCACCAAACCTGGAAACCCTTAAAAATGAGGACTAGGAGCTTGACGTTAACGTGGACACCATGCAGAGCCTTTTTTTAAAAAAAGAGAAACACCACTCTCATGAGCGGCTGGCAACCTTTCTATACTCACCATCTGGAAGATGAAGGTGACTGTTCCACATACCCTCACTACCTTGTTGAAGCGCAGCTCCAGGTACTGGGGGGACAAAGAGATAGAGGAGGGAAGGTCACTGGGGCAGAAAGGAGTGGGATGGCCCCTTGATAAGGACTAACTGGGGAAACATGGAAACTGTCAGTGAGTGGGAGGAAGTGGGAGACTGAGGCACGGGAAATGTACCTGCAGGGCTGCTATGGTGTTTGCACGCAGATACAAAAGAGACTCCCTCCCTTCCACACGACTCCCCCAAACATCAGCACCCACGCCACATCTTCCTCTTACCCAACTATTGGATATTTAAGACTTCCAAAAAAAAAGCTTTCCACAAAATACCTACATATTTATGTGGGAGATCGACAACTGTATTTCCCACATAAATGTGTTATCTTTCCAAATGAAATACAGCTGCAGGGGGCTGCCAGTTGTTCTGGTGCAATGGGTGGTGGTGTACCTCTTCCCTCATGTGATATTTTCCTAATCCAAATTGCTCCCCTAAGCAGCAGTATCCTGCAAGGGAAAAAAATACAGGCCTCTCTGGTAAACACATAAGGAACACAAGGCATTGAGGGAATTGGATAAACATATGGAGCAGAGATCCATCGGTGGCTATTAGCCACAAGATATAGATAGGGACTCTGGGGCAAGGGATGCTCTGTCTTCTTGGCCCCCGGGGGGGGGGGGAACAGTGGGAGGGCTCCTAGTGTCCTGGCCCCACTGCTGGACCTCCTGATGGCACCTGGTATTTTTGGCCACTGTGTGACAGAGTGTTGAACTGGATGGGCCACTGGCCTGATCCAACAATGGCTTCTCTTATGTTCTTATGTTTAAGACAGAGGCCACGAACAATGGACAGTTCTCACAGTGTAGAAAAATAAGCTATGGCAAACCTAAGGGTCTGTACCGTAACTGGAGCCATTCATTTTATTCATAAATGATTTAGTGTTGGGGTAAAGAGATTCTTTTTAAGGGTGGCCACCTCACTAAAAAGTCATCTCAGTCAGTGGCAAGAAAAAAGAAAGCAAGATCTAATTTTCTGGAGGTTGACAGATGAAAAAAAGAGGATGGGTTACACTGTTAATGTTCACCCCACCAACAACAGCCCATCTTTATGGCTCTGCCGTCATACACTTCCCAATATTTTGGCAGGCTTCCCTCTAGTAACCTCTAAAGCATAGGTACTGGGAGTTAATCAGGATAGGGTACCGTCTTCTGCCCAACTGTGGCAGAAGACAGAATGTGAGATTAAATGGTCCACTGGTTAAGATGTTAATCCTCTCTTCTACCAGCACCCTCTTCTGTCTCATGTTTCGTTCCACTCCCAAAGCTGTCACTTACCTCGTATGCGCTGGTCAGGCGTAGGCGGTAAAAGATAGGGATGAAGACATGAGCTGGGATGAGGAGCCCCAGAAAGTATGAGCACCCGAGGAACCAGTACTCGGTACCAAAGCGATAGATCTCAGCAGGGACCCCTAGGATGGCCACAGCAGATTGGAAAGTGGCAAGCAAAGAGAATGCCACTGGCAAGAAGGTCATGCTGCGATTGGCCAGCAGAAACTCCTGGACAGTGCGCTGCTTCCCACCACTCAGAGCATAGAAGAGCCCAATGCCCGCTGAGAGCACCAACAGCAGCACAAAAATGACATAGTCCGTCACGCCAAACTTCATTTCAACTACAACACTGCTGTTGCCACCCCTTGGGAAAGTGCTGTTCATTGCGGAACCAGAGTGCGCTGGTCACTGGATCTTATCCATCACTGCATCATCGGGGTAGCGCCCATTACTGAAGGATGGCTAAACGTTGATTTTCACCAAAGTACGCGCTTCAGCCATTCAGTCCGCCCCTGCCGATGCTGACTCCATCCCATCATGAATTCTCCAAACAAACGGGCAGCTTCCAGGGATCTCTCTCCTTTGGCATAATTAAGAGGAGCTAGCCTAGAAGAGAGAAAGAAAGGGAAGATATGAGAGGCTGCACAAGAGGAAACTCCCTTTATATTCCTATAAGAGCCTGAACACAGGAGACAACCGACCTTCACTCGGCTGCCACCAGTCTCCAAGTCTCAAGGACTGCGAGGCAGCTGAAGGAAAGTCTTTTTGACCCAGCAAGCACGGGCAGGGCTCCAAGTAGGGCTGGGGCTGTCCACCAAGCGTAACCTCTTCAGGCCCAAAGCATTTCTTGCCCTTTGCTGGACCCAACCCTGAACAAAGAGGTCTACACAGCAGGACAGGGTGAACTCTGACAGGAGTCAGCCCTGGTTGCTGGTCTTCCTAGCTGAAGAAGCAGGGGCCTGGCCAAACAACACAGTTGGTGCAGCCCAAGAGCAGCACCGCTCACAGGGATCAGTACGTGGTGCCGCCAGATTAAACTTTCTAGCCGCGGCAACACCCTGTCCCCGGCTAAGCCATGCCAAGACACACATTGGAATGTGTGGCTGGCAGCCCAGACGGCACACTTGCAGTACAGACAACTCTGAAAATGTGGCAAATGTGTGTCCACTTCAGGATGTAAGTGGGCAGGTCACACATGACTGGATGCTTCTCCATACCAAAAAATAAACCCTGCATGTGGAAAACTAGCAGATCAAGCTAAGAATCTTTACACATACTTATTTAGAAACTTCTTATTTATTTTTAAAAGCCCGCCCTTCAAGGAGCTCAGGCTAGCATACTAGTTTACTCCAAGACAGGTTAGGTCAAGAGAGAATTCTTGGTCCAAGGTTACACAGTGACCTCCACAGTGGGATGGGGATTTGAACCCAAGCCTCCCCAGACCTAGCCTGACACTCTGATCACTGACATCAGAACATGAGTCTCCACAAGATGTGATAAACTGGTTTACTGTCTCATGCATGGCACTGAAGAGCCAGGAAAGGCCTCGACCTAGAGCCTTCTTCCAGTTCTAACTATTAAGTACCACACCCCACTCTATTCGGGATAACAAATTGCTACACAACTGCCCCTTCTCTAAACAAGCCTTTTTTGCCCCAAATTACCAACCCCCAGCCAGTTATCTATACATGATTAAGGCCTATGGTTTGTTTGGGGTAACCAAAACATTATCTTCCAAAGGAGAGGAAATGGTGACTGGATTTCAAGCAGTTAATGATAATTGTGGTGGAGGAACTTTGACATAAAGAGGGGGAAGGTCTAGAGGAGAGCAAGCATTTGGGCAGATCAGAGGAGCTGTGGGTGTTAATAGTAATAGGGTGTTAATAGCGACCTGCCCACAGCCCCAAAGACAGGAGGAGCAGGCCAAGACATTCCCACAAGCCAGCCTGCCCCTGGCTCAGCTCAGACGTCTACCTCTCCTTGCCCCATCTGTGAGGAGATTTTTTTTAAATATATTTGTTCCAATTGTGACTTCTTCAGTATTTCAAAATCCTGTTTTATTTCTTGTTCCCCTCTAAATATGCCAACCTCCAGGTGGGACCTGGGGATCCTCCGGAATTACAGCTCATTTCCAGACTATAGAGATCAGTTCCCTCGTAGGTTATTTGGAGGGACCCTGTAGCATTGTACCCCACTGAGGTCCCTGTCCTGCCCAGGTTCTATTTGCAAATCTCCAGGAGTTTCCCAACCTGGATCTGGCAAATTTACCCCGCCATCCCTTGCCAGTGGTCAGGGACGACCTAGCAACCCTACCTCTCTCCCCACCCCCATCTCTTCTCATAGGTCCATTTATTTGATGGCTTTTAGTTGAAAGGTGTGTGATTTTTAATGAAAAGTTATATTTTCAAGTTGGGAAATCAATTGGGGGATTTGTACCCCAGTTTTCTACAAAAAGGGCAAGAACACAGGGACAACACAGGGACAACACAGGGACAACACAGGGACAACACAGGGACAACACAGGGACAACACAGGGACAACACAGGGACAACACTCTGCTTCCTCAGGATATTTTTTTTACCCCACCCAAGAATGACCATTTTAAATTACCCTATTAATGGTGTAATGTGTCATACTGATGAAGATGATGTAGTTGTAAGAGTGTTAGACTGGGATCTGGGAGATCCAGAATCCATTCTGCCATGGAAACTTGCTAGGTGACCTTTGGCTAGCCACATAAACTCAGCTCAGCCTACCTCACAGGGTTGTTGTTGTGAGGATTTTAAAAAATGGAGTATGAGAGAACAATGTTGTAAGCTGCTTTGGGCACCCAGCAAACAGAAATAGTGGAGTAAAAATATCTAAATAAATTAGCCAGCAGGGGGACATTCTCAGCTGTTGATTACTTCTCCCCCCCCCCCCCCGCCCCCCCCCCGGCCCGAGAAGTACCCATCCTACAGAAGTTTGCCAAAGCTGTGCCTGAGCTGGTTTTGGAGGTGTTGCAAGATCTTAGACTGGCTTGTGGTGACCCACAAGACTTTTAACTTGGAGTGCAGGTGAGGTTTCAGTTAGATTTAGACAAGGGGAGATCTGGAAGGAAGAAATAAAACAAACAGAAAGAGGCCTGGAAAGAAAGGCTCAACTGGAAGGCTAGTTGCAAAAAGTTGTTCTCCTGAGGATTGCCCAACCGATCTAAGAGCTTGCTGGAGGCAACATAGTGTTTAAGTACACCAGTGAAGGAACTCACTGTAGGGGGGGGGGACTCCAGAGACTCTTGCAAGAGCACAGAGGATGCAAGCATATATTTGGCCAGGTGACTCCCATGCAACAATCAGAGAAGGTCCGCAGGCATACCACAGTGGCCAAAAGAACTCTCCTCATACACAAGTCTAGCTTGGTCCAGGTAGTAGATAGAAAGACTTGTGGGTGTGAGCTGAGAATGAGAGAGAGAGAGAACAATGATCAGAGCAAGATCATAAGAACATAAGAGAAGCCGTGTTGGATCAGGCCAATGGCCCCTCAAGTCCAACATTCTGTGTCACACAGTGGCTAAAATCCAGGTGCCATCAGGAGGTCCACTCCAGAAGCCCCCACACACACTGTTGCCCCCGCCAAGCACCAAGAATACAGAGCATCAGTGCCACAGACATACTGTTCCATCTATTCCTTTGTGGCTAATAGCCACTCACAAACCTCTGCTCCATATATTTATCCAATCCCTTCTTGAAGCTGGATATATTTGTCCCCACCACCATGACTTCCTGCAACAGTGAATTCCATATGTTCATTATTCTTTGGGTGAAGAAAGCCTTGGAGAACCTTGGATCTGCACAAACCCCCAAAGCCCTTGTTAAGAGAGCCATGCATAAGGAGGGGGCACAGAATGAAGCCAGTGACAAGGAGGAGAAGGAAGGAGAGCTGGCCAGTTTAGATGTTTGGAAAGTGGGTGTTCAACACTATGGACACGATGTGTTTCCTTTGAAACTGTAGCCGCAAATGGTATGTGCATGCATGCAGACATACACACACACTCCAGCCATCCCACATGCAAAGTATAGACCTCTCTGTCTCCATCACAAAGCACAGTGTAAGCCCCTTGGGTGGAATATTTGAATGTGTCTAAGCGAATCTGCAGTTATGTTTCACTGAGTAGCTGGTTATGCCGGATCTGCTCTTCTGTCACATCTACTATTTCTACTTAGTGGACTTGTTAATCAATAGAGTCTGCTTTGTTTTGAACCCATCTGTGAATCTTATCTAGTTATATGGACCCACATCTCTCATACCACACCTCTTGTTTAATTTGAGAATCCCATGCGCACTGGAAATGAAAGCTAGCATGGTACATTGGGGAGGGCACTGCCAAAGATGGCACTTGTCTGTTCTTTGCATGGCCTTGAAATCTCCCTGGTTTCCACTGCTGGACCCATAAGGAAAGCCAAGTCAAGAAAAACAAGGAAAGGCCTTTTAGTAACACTTGTAGTCTAGCAAATCATTCACATTCCAAACCCCGGGCCAGGAACAAAACCAAACCATACGGTTTTAAATTGTGTTATTCTGCCCTCTTTGTATGTTCCCTTTGCTGCATAGCTAGCACTGGTTAAGCACACAGGAGTCCTGGGAGTTGTCCTAACATATAATCAAGAGAGGACCAAACTCCAAAGTCTTGCCATCTACAATGACACAAAGGAAGGGAGGAAGAGTTCTGGTGCAGCTTGCCAGCAAAGGAGCAATCATGGAACTGATCTCAACAGAAACGTACTTTGCAATTGCAATATCCACACTATCTGAGCAATCTAGCAGTTCAGGTTTATCAAGGACACCCTCATCTGGCAAAACGCGTTAAATTATGTTACCACGGTCAACGGCTTTTGGGAATGGTCTCTGTACTTGTCTGAATTTCATTGCAATAGTACATCATTACCTCTTATTCAGTACCTCATGCATTTCATGGCCCTTTGACCCTGATGTTTACAGCCTTTTTTTCTTCATAGAGTTCACATATTGATATGTCTGCCTAGTGAGGATCCACTATATTGACCTGACAAGATGGGCTCTAGCCCAAGAACGTTTATGTTAGAATTTGGCACTTGATAGTTTTTGAGGTGCCACAAGAAATCTGTCTATTCTTTGCTGCAAAACACAGCTCCCCCCCCCCCCCCCCCCCCCCAAAATTCATGCTTGGAAACGGAGGCATTCATTCACCTCATGTACAAGCTCAGCTGTTGGAAACCTTCCCTTAAAGACCAAGCATATTGCTCCGGAAAACTTAACGGATCAAAGCAAAATAAAATAAAACTGAGAGATTAAACATCCGAACGGAAGGGTTGGAGGGAGAGCAGCCTTTTCAGCACTTATCTTTTGCTGACGTGAGTCATCAGGCCCTTGGCAATACAGATGGGGGAAGGGCAAGGAGGGAGAAGACTGGCAGATTCTGGGGGAGAGTAAGGGGTACCAGAGAAGAACAACGGGCAGGAATGTTGCCCTTGACTCCGGGAATATTGAGCACATAGTTCTTGGGATTAAGGCATTGACTTGGCACAGCAAAGCAAGAAAGGGCTTGTTAGGGCTTGCCTGGCCCCAGAAAAAGAGGGAAAGGGAAGGCAGGATTGCAGATCAAAGGGGAGGCTTTGGGTAGGAACCTCTTTGGAGCAGGTGCTCCTGTTCTGAAACCCTCCTTCCTTTTTGCCGCAAGGCAGATGACAGCCTGGCCAGAAGCTGAAAATGCCCCTTTACCTATAGTCCTTTTTCTGTGCAACCCACTAGGGAGATCATGGGGAGGGCTTGCTGCTTTTATATCTGCTGCACTTTCACAGAGCAGTGGCAGCATGGTGAGTCTCCTTCCAGTCTTCCTTCCCCATCTTTGCCCAGGGGAAGGATGTGGGGCTTTCAGGGAGATGTGGGGAAGGTGAGTGTGTATGGCCAATCACCATGTTGCCTGCGTCCCCCCAGATTTAAATAATTTGCTCCCAGAAGCCTCCCTGAATTGTTTTGCCTGCAACTGGACTACATTTTTCTGGCTGAAATATTCCTTTCGTTCTGTGGCCAGTCTGTGCCTCACAATCAGCCCAGTTCAGCTTATCTCCATCCAGGAAAGGATACTTGTATGTGATAGGGGAGAACACTCTGCAAATATGTGAGATGGATTTCAGACATTGCACAGTGTCCTCAGCCTACTACTCTTTGCCACTGATAATTTCTGTAGATGCTTGCCCTTCACCCAAGGACATCAGTGCAGTGGTTTAATCTCACAGCTACAGCCTCCTGTGAGGGAGGTCAAACTGGGAGATTGTGACTCACCAAGAGAAACACAGGCACTGGAGATTTCCCATATCCAAGCCCACCTCCAAGAGTGGCCACAATCCCTTTTTCATCCCTGTTAAACCACAAATGTTACAACATCCTCTGTACCCCCCAAGCTTTGTAGCCTAGAAGTGGGAGGGGAGGGGGCCACTGTTACCGCCTGTCCTAAGCAAGGCTCAGACTAAGAGTCTCTTAAACTAAATTGACACACATCACTTAAAATGTTTTCCATCTCTTCTCCTGCTATAATTATTGTGCATATGCGAAAAGAGAAAAGCAGTTCTAAGCACACTTGCAGTAGATTTCTGAATCAGAGGATGGCTGTGCAAGTTGATTGACAGTCTCCTGCTTTGACAATGCACACATGATTGCAGCTGCACATACAGCATCTTTTACCCAAAGAAACATAAAGGCTGCAATCCCAACAGCACTTTCCTTGTTGTAAGCCCCATTCAATAATGTGAGAGTTAATTTCTGAGTAGGCCCACCTAGACTTTCTCCTATTAAATTTCTTCCAGAAATGGCTCTGTATTTCACTGGGGGCTAGTTAGAGCATTTAAGTATAAGTATGTGTCACTAGCAACCAAGAACAAGATAACTTACCCTGACCTGGATAGCCCATCAGATCATCAAATCTCGGAAGCTAAGCAGGGCCGACCCTGGCAAGTACTTGGAAGGGAGACCTCCAAGGAATACCACGGCTGGGATGCAGAGGCAGGCAAAAATAAACTACCTCTCTGAAACGTCCAAGCCCCACTAGGGATTGCTAGGGATCAACCATGACTTCCAGGCATACACACACACACACAAAAATACCCCCCCCCAAAAAAGATCAAGATAACTCATGCTATAGTATTCTCCATTACTATGAGTGGGCGTGAAAGTTGCACAATGAAGAAAGCTGACAGGAGGAAAGCTGATGCATTTGAAATGAGGTGTTGGAGGAGAGTTTTACAGATACCATAGACTACCAAAAAGACAAACCAGTGGGTTCTAGATCAAACCCAAACTCTCCCTAGAAGCTAAATTGACTAAACTGAGGTTCTTGTCCTTTGGTCACATTATGAGAAGACAACAGTCACTGGAAAAAGACAATAAGGCTAGGAAAAGTTGAAAGCAGCAGGAAAAACATGAGGTGGATTGACTCAGTAAAGCAAGCCAGGGCCCACAGTTTGCAGGTCCTCAAACAAGGCTGTTAACTATAGGACCTTTTGGAGGTCATTAATTCATGGGGCTGACATAAGTCAGGAGCAACCTGATGGCACTCAACAAACACATCCATAACAGAGTATTCTGCACTTTTTTTAAAAAAAAGCATTGCCAGGCTCCAGGGTGTCCTCCAAACTAGGAAGCCAACTCTTCAGCCTAAGAATCACATGCAAAGGCTTGTGGTTATTTAAAGGAAAGACTCTCTCGCAACGCACACTCTTGTCAAGCTTATCCCTCATTGTCCCGTGGGCAAAGCGATGCTTGGGATTAAAAAGAGATCCCAGAGTTGAGCCACCAGTTCAAAGCCCTGCAGTTGGGCTCCAACCTCACTTCTCAGGCAAGGCAGATGAGATGGTAATTTTCATTTTCAAAGTGCCCAGTAACCAAGCTGAGAAGACCGCAACTTTCCAGTCAGCACCGCATGCTGTGCTGGCAGGGCCAGCTGTTTTGGGAACAGAGCATACTGTGTAATTTGGCTGCAGGCAGTCTGAGTGGAAGAGAGATAGTCCTTACAAAGGCAGCAGGAGGTGGGGAGAGGAGCCAGTTCTCCTCTCAGCTATGGGAGTGATGTAGGATCGAGTCAGAACTCAGCCCTTGTTGTCAACTACTCTGATTACATACCAAACTGGCAGCAATGCGGCCATTCCCAGCAGAAGCTCTATGCCTTTCACAGCTGCATTCAAGAGGCAGAAAAATGGACTGAACCCCTTCAAAAGCTGCACCCATTGAATTATTGACTGTCAAGCAGCTGCTAAAGCGACAGGATGCTGAAGTTACACAACACATGGTAGACAACTGGCAAAGCTCACCAACTGCAAATGTTCCTGACAGCTGAAGAAGTCTATCTAGCAACCACCTCAGGATATCTCCATTTTTTCAAGACAGATTTTTTAAAAAAAACAACAACCCCAAACACCAGTTACAGACTAGTCAGATTCACATGCACACTCTTCACACGTGCCAAGTTTGCAGCACCAATTGACAGGTTAGCAACAGCGTTGCTCCACAAACTGTGATATCACTTTTGACATCACCCTGTGCTGTTCAGGAGAAGCGGTTCAAATATTTACTGGCAAGCCCTCATGGGAGGTGACATGGAGTGGAGATCATGGCTCTTGTCTGTCAGCTCCGAGTACTCTGGGAAAAAATCGGGACTGTTTATTTCCCTTATAAAAGTATGCTTTTGAGAGTCCCGCTTCCCCCTTGCCTAGATCCGTGCCTCTAGCCAACAAAACTACAATATCGGCCAAATGAATCTTGCAATCCGATCACAAGTGCTGGTTTTTTGGGGCCCAAACCGAGTCTAGGCTGGGGCACTGAGACTAAGGAAAGAAGGCTGCGGCAGATGCCGCATGGGAAGAGGAATGGTCCGTGCTGGGAAGACGGCTAGATCTCCATTATCCCGGCACAAGCTGCAAAAAGTGAGAAACAAGAGTGCCTCTGAGCGCGTACCGCATCCTAGGCATTTAAAAGGTAAAGGTTCCCTTGCTCGAAAGCCAGTCAAATCCGACTCTAGGGTTGCGGTGCTCATCTCCGTTTCAAAGCCGAAGAGCCAGCGCTGTCCGAAGACGTTTCCGTGGTCATGTGGCCGGCATAACTAAACACCAAGGCGCACGGAACGCTGTTACCTTCCCACCGAAGTGGTACCTATTTATCTACTTGCAATTTCTAGGCATTTGGGGCTAGCTAAAAACATTAAGAATAGCCCGAGCCACAGGAAAGGGATCACCTTTGCCGGCTGCCACTCACCACCAGTCCCGGTACAATGCAAGCCCACGAGGCATCCACGTGCGACTGCTATTGCTACCGCTCTCGCCGTTGCACCACCAGATATAGATCAAGCGTTGACATTCCCAAGGGCAAGCACCGCCCCCTTCCTGGCGCGTCCCGATGGCATCACGAGTCGGGCATGACTCTCTCCGTGTTCTCTCTGCCTGCCATCTTAACGCCTGGCAGTTCCTTCCGGAGGCCTCTTTGAATTGCCTGAAGAAATCTGGCTCAATTCCAGGGAAAGACGTGTTAGTTCACCGCTGCAAAATTATAAGAGAAGTCTTGGGGCACTTAGTGGCTTTGTCCCGTCCCCCGCTCGTTTCATTGCCCCAATAGCGCACGGGAGAGGCTAAATACAACAGGTGTGGTGATTCAGTCCATTTTCGCGTGTGAATCACCATTCACCTTCTGCCCTGCTATTTGGAGACCAGGCGAGACGAAAGGAAGTACTTCTTAATCTTCACATATAATTAACTTGTGGAACTCGCTGCCACGGGATGTTGCAATGGCCACTAGCTGAGATGGTTGTAATGTTCCCTCTAAGCTGTGGAGTCTTGTGAGCAAAAATTCTACTTTGTGAGCTACTGGCATTAAAGTTGTGAGCGAGCAATTTGGCTACTGCATAAATTAGTTTGCTCTGGAGGCATCCTTCCTGAGCTGAGACAAAAATGTGTGAGCCAGAGGCTAAAAAACTGTGAGCTAGCTCACACTAACTCAGCTTAAAGGGAATCTATCATGCGGTGTGTAGAAGCAACCTTACATGTTTCGTGGACATGGACCCCCATCTTGTTCTATCTGTTGTACAGCAACTGAGACCCCATACATGCTAGACCAGTGTTAGGTCTGGGCATAAGGAAGTGGCTTGGGTGATGGGTGGGAAGGAAAGCAATTGGATTTGAAGGTGGCAGGCATACCTTACATCCATTTTAGGGTGACTGTTTAATTGTGGGGGCAGGAAAGCTCAAGGCAAGGACAGACCAGTATTTGCCACTACTACAAACTGAATTGGACCCCTGTGTATCAAAAGAGTGTGTTGTGCAAGTGCGGAGTTGGCAACAGCAGCTTGGGAAATTCCTATAATCGATTTGAAGGCAGTACCTGGGAAAGGTGGAGTTTGGGGAGGTGATGGGAGGGAGGGAGCTCAGCAGGGTATGATGCCACAGAGTTACCCTCCAAAGCAGTCATTTCATTGCCTTCTCAGGAAATAATCTCTGTAATCTGGAGGTCAGTTTAAATTCCAGGAAAACTCCAGGCCCTACCTCTAGGTTGGCAACAATATGGACAACCTAATTTTGTACATATTATTATATCCCACCCTCCCCGCCGAAGTAGGCTCAGGGCAGCTTATATAAAATCTTAAAACACATCAAACAATACAAAATTAAAACCACAGTTTATCATTAGAGCCATCCTATTACTCCTTGGCAAATAGAAGGGGAAGTCGTGGAAGTAGTGACAGACTTCACGTTCCTGGGATCCCAGATCACCGCAGACAGTGACAGCAGCCATGAAATTAAAAGACGCCTGCTCCTTGGGAGGAAAGGGATGGCAAACCTAAACAGCATGATAAAAAGTAGAGACATCACCCTGCCAACAAAAGTCCGCATGGTCAAAGCAATGGTATTCCCAGTAGTCATGTATTGCTGCGAGAGTAGGACTACAAGGAAGGCCGAGCGCCGAAGAATAGATGCTTTTGAACTATGGTGCTGGAGAAGACTCTTGAGAGTCCCTTGGACTGCAAGAAGATCAAATCAGTCAATCCTAAAAGAAATCAACCCTGACTGTTCCCTGGATAATGAAACTGAAGCTCAAATACTTTGGCCACCAAATGAGAAATGAGCATTCACTGGAAAAGACCCTGATGCTGGGAAAGATTGAAGGTCAAAGAAGATGGGGACGGCAAAGGATGAGATGGTTAGACAGTGTCATAGATGCAACGAACATGAAATTGAGCCAACTTCAGGGGATGGCGGAAGACAGGAGGGCCTGGCGGGAGCTGGTCCATTGGGTCACAAAGAGTCGGACTGGACTGTGACTGAACAGCAACAAAAAATTAGTGCTGAGGTTCTAGAGCTAATCTTAATAATAGTGCAATTCAGGGGTCGTTTCGTAGAAAAAGAGCTAGGGGAACTCATTAGCATAACTCATTAGCATATGCCCCCCCCCCTGACATCACTGGAAGTGTGTCATAAGGCCACACACCCCGCCCCCAACGGTCCCGGCCGGCGGGAGTGTGAGGAAGCCCCACGAAGACCCTCCCTGGCCCCAGGCAGGCAGGGGTGGGGAGAGGCAGGGAGGAAGCAACTTACCCTCCCTCTTCTCCTGCCTCCTCCTGGCTGAATGAGGGGCGGAAGCAGGGGGTGGGGCTTCGTCATGTGCCCTGCCCCCGTACCTCACCCGGGGGAACTGCAATCCCCCGCGATCCCCTCCGAAATGACCTCTGGTGCAATTATAATAGCAGACACAACAGGAGATGTTAAAGTAGTCATCAGGGAATGAATATAGTTGTAATTCAGATTATTCTACCCAATTTTGCTGGCAACTCATATTTCTAGTACTAAATTCAGGGAGGTGGGCCTAAGTGTGGCTCCTAATTAAAAGCCTGGTGGAAGAGCTCTGTCTTGCGGGCCCTGCGGAACTGTAAAACTTGGATATAAGTCCTACTAAATTCATTAAGAGCTACTCCTACAGTCCTACCTAAGTGTGGCTAGGATTACAACATTTAAAAGAATTCAGTTAAGAATGTAAAAGCAGCAGTTTGAGACCAGACCAGTAGTCTATCTACTGCTATAGCCTGTTTCACATAATGGCCAACCAGATACCCTGAGAAGACCTACAAGCAAGGAACTGAGGCCCAAATTAAGATTTTTTACCCCAATTTGCATCACTTTATGTTTAGATTTCATATCATTTTCACTCCAGCACTGCATTCAGAGGTATGCTGCCCCTGTACATGGATGTTCCATTTATTATTTGTAGTTTATAGCCATTGATGGCCCTCCATTAATTTGTCTTATTTTCCTTCTGAAACTAACTAAGCTAATGGTGATCACTACAACCTCTGGCATTGAATTCCACCACTTAATTACGCGTTGAGTGCCCTTTGTCTCCTCTGAATCTACTGCCATCATTGGATGTCCACGAATTCTAGTATTATGGCTAAGGAAGAAGAGGTTCTCTCTATCCACTTTCTCCACCCCATGCATAATTTTATAAACAAAAGCGATGTAAGCAAGGAACGCGGCTATGAATAGTTAACTTAATCAAGGTCACACCGTGCAAAAATATGTAATAAATAAATAAACGCATATAATTATAAAGATTATAAGTGTGCTCGGGGCTTTTTTTGTAGAAAAAGCCCAGCAGGAACTCATTAGCATAATAGGCCATACCCAACAGCAGGAACTCATTAGCATATTATGCCACACCCCTGACAGCACAGCTCATTTGCATATTAGGCCACACCCCCACGTTGCAAGAAGTGTGGTCATCCAACCACACCCACCTTTTGCTTCGTATTCTCTTTACCTTGTTTGTTGTCAAAACCCAGGGCTTTTTGCATGTTAGGCCACACACCCCTAATTGCAGCCAATCCGAATGAGTGTCCGTTGTTGGGTGTGGCCTATTATGCTAATGAGTTCCTGCTGGGCGTGGCCAACTTGGGAGCCAGCCGGAACTCCGTTCCTGTGCGTTCCTGCCCAAAAATAGCCCTGAGTGTGCTTTATCCCAAATATAATAGTAAGTATAAATAAGATATATTACATATACAACTACATATAAATCAAAATTCAGTCTCTTAAGATGTCTATTCCAAATGCTTGAAAAATCTAACATAGGAAAACTTATCCTCTGTGTAAGAAAGTTTGCTTCCTCCCAACTTCATTAGCGTGATGAAGCTTGTAGCACGTAAGGATCCACACCCAACAAGGGTGAGCCTGTTGTAGTCTCGCTGATCCTGTTGTGGGAGTATGTCAATGCTGAAGAATTGAAATCTGGAGGCAGTTGTGTTCCATCATTAATTAATGTACCTTATTACCTGTGAAAATGTATTTCGTTTGTAGAAGGATCATCAGCTTTAAAGAAAAGGATTCTTAGCTCTTGAGAAAGAGAGTTTCGAAGCGGCTTCTATCGATAGCTCGTTGGGTGTGGATCTTTACTTGCTACAAGTGTCATCACCCTAATGAAGTCGGGAGGAAGCAAACTTTCTTACACTGCAGGATAAATTTTCCTATATCAGATTTTTCAAGCGTTTGGAATGGACATCTTAGAGACTGACTTTTGACTTTTGATTTATATGTAATTGTATATGTATTTATACTTACTATTATATTCAGGATAAAACACACTTATAACCTTTATAATTATATGAGTTTGTTTATTTATTATATATTTTTGCATGGTATAACCTTGTTTAATTTTATAAACATTCATCATGCCTGTCCCCCAATTGCCTCACCCTTATCCACACATGCTTATTCACCCTCTCAAAGAACTCCAGAAGATGGGCAAGACAGAACTTCTATTTATGGAAGCCAGAATTATTCATGTTACTATGTGCTGATCAATGTTCCCTGTTAGGTGTAGAGTCTTGTGAGCAAAAATTCTACTTTCTGAGCTACTGGCATTAAAGTTGTGAGTGAGCGATTTGGCTACTGCATAAATTAGTTTGCTCTGGAGCCATCCTTCCTGAGCTAAGACAAAAATGTGTGAGCTGGAGGCTAAAAAACTGTAAGCTAGCTCACATTAACTCAGCTTAGAGGGAACACTGGTGTGGATTATTAAAGACAGAACTATTAATCCACCAATTTCCATGGATGTTAGGCCTGTACTTTACTGAATCTCTCCTCCCTTAAACAAAAATGCTGTTACATTCACTACCTTCCAATCCTCTGGCTGAGGTTAATGGCAAATTGTACATCTTTGTTGGAAGAACAACCATCTTGAACAGTTGTGCATATGCCCTCTGGATCTAGTGACTTCCTATCTTTTTTGGGTTTTTTTTTAAATATGTGCGTGTCTGTGTGCACCTGGAAGTCATGG